CTAATTGTTTCCATTTCAGGAGGACCACCCTTATTAGGGAGCAGAAAAGGCACCACCACAAAGAAAAGGGACCCTCTACCTAGGATTAATAAGTACGTCACATTTGTTGGGAAAGCAAAAAGTTATGAATTTTCAAAAATGATGCGCAAGAACTTCTGCATGAACCTAATATCATGGTCCACAAGATGAGGAGGCCCCACATTGAACTTATTGGAGTCAGTTAAGTATACGGTAAAAAGACGGTAATATGAATTTCGTCATGACCGCTACTATAAATCAAGTTATTAATTCTCTGCTATTTCTATGATATGCAGCTTCTTTGAAGAACCATCTCTAGCTTCGATTTTTTGGATAAATATTTTGAAATCAAAGCTAGTGCGTTTTGTGGAGCGCGGTATAGACACTTTTAAGGACAATAGCAATATCATATGTAGTCAACATACGAACTTAGTACGAAACTAGTAAGTCAATCAAAATTCTGACCTCCTCGTTTACCGTATCCTCAAATAAATCAACAAAAAACGACAATATAGATATCGTGAACGCACTAACATGAGCTCCTTAGGCAAATTCGGGATGACATACTAAACATTCAGCAGAAACTGCCACGTAAAGAAGGGACCTAACATTGGTCATAAAGTTCAAAGCCAATAAAGCTTCGGATGCGGCATAAAAGAAAGGAGCTCGGAGCTATTCATAGATGTGTTAAGGGCCATGGCCACCGAGACGAAAATATCTTGCTGACTTCACTAAGAAATGACAGGAAAGAATGATAATAAATACGAAAATGTACGATACTGAAACAAGAGCACAGAAAACCACACGCCAGCATTGGCATCCCTTTTATCAAGAAATACGCGAGATGGTTCGCTCATGTCAAAACTTCTATTTCTAAGACTGACATGGAACTGGTAAGTATTACAAAAGTAGTGATGTTGCTTTGTAGTGACTCATATCTCTTGACATAACCTCAAAAAAAAAACAAATGTTGAGTCATCTTCAAACACTAGTCTGAATAGAAAAAAGTGAAGGGCGCATCAGATTTGAGTTAATTCATCAAACACAAATGTGATACATATTCCGATGATTCCAATCAAATTTCTAAAAAAAACCTACGAGACGTTTTTGAGATTTTCTTCAGTTTCTTACTATGCAAACATGTGCGAGTACCAGAGACAAATATTTTTAGATATATATTGAGCAAATAGAGATAGAGATCATATACCAATCAACAACCCGGAATACAGAAGTGTTTTCCTATCATAAGGTCAAAGACAGTAAAAGCTCTGTGTAC